ACTACTTTTTAGTGGTTAGAAGTTGTTTATATTCTGGATAGTAATCCTTTGTTAGTATTAAAAGATGAGTCTCATCCATTTCTACTACGTACTACCCTTGGAATATATAACAAACTAAGACTTGGACCCATCTTTGAAAAAAGGTTCAAGCTTCCTATGGGTTGGAGAGTGGCAGAAAAGAGAAATAAATAACTTATTGCAAGTATAGTGTGGTAGATGCCAATATAACAGATTGTTAATGTAACATGTGAGAAATGCCTAACCCATGTCTTTAAACTGGCATACATGGTCTGCTGGGGGTCAGGAAAATGTTCAGAGCATTGTAGCTAGATTTTCAATTTCCATCTGTGTACTTTTCTAAAATTTTTCTGTCTGATAACATTTGTGTAGTAGAGGTGTTTTGGTTCTCCTTTACACTTCCCCTTTCTTAATCTGCCTTCTCTCACTTTATAAAAGGAAAGCAAACCTGTCAACTGTTCCAAATCCTACTATGGTAGATTTACTTAGGGTTATAAGACTCTCTGGGGCTCCAAACTAAGGGGCAATTTCAGAATGCCTTCCTCCTGAGGGGGTGTCCCCTGAGAGAGCAAAGCAAGAAAAATTGAATGGAGCAGCTTCTTATTTCATCCGGCTGGCAGATGCTTGACAAGGCTTTCTTACTATTAGAATTCAAAAATAGGACGGTGATCATGGGGCAAATATTAAGACATTTATTTATTTTGAAAAATAAAGGTAGATTCTAATGACAGAAAGTAAATATAGGCTGGGCGTGGTGGCTGTAATCCTAGTACTCTGAGAGGCCAAGGCAGGAGGATCACTTGAGGTCAGGAGTTCGAGATTAGCCTAAGCAAGAGTGAGACCCTGTCTCTACAAAAAATACAAAAATTAGCTGGGAATGGTGGTGCGTGCCTGTAGTCCCAGCTACTCGGGAGGCTGAGGCAGGAGAATCACTTGAGCACAGAAGTTTGAGGTTGCAGTGAGCTATGATGACACTACTACACTCTTGCCTGGCTGACAGAAAGAGGCTCTGTCTCCAAAAAAGAAAGCAAATATAATTTGACTTATTGGTTTAATAATAGTGCCTGCCTTTGCCAGTTAGGTCATAGGTAGACGTTTATAAATTAAATGAGATAAATTTCACCTAAAGTTTCAGTGGAAAAATTTTAAAGTACATATAAATTATATCCTTTGCAAATATATACACTTAAGGTAAAAAAAAATTTAGAAGTCTTTAATAAAATGTGTATGAGGAAACACTCTTAGCAGGTATATGAGCAGAAAAATATGAAAACCTCTGACACGGGATAGGATGATGGCAGGAGGAGGAAGTTTTAGGTAATTCTCTGAAGGAAATGACACCTCAGTACAATTTTGAAGACCTTTGTTCCTAATTGCTAGGGTTAAATGATGACAACAACAGAAAATTCTTGCTGATATGGAACTTACAGAAATGCAGAAGACTGACACAAATGTGTAGTATAATGTCTGTCAGTGAAAGTGCCATGAACAAAACAAAGCAGGATGAAGGACTTAGAGTGATGAGATGCTCTTTTAGATAGGGCACTCAGATAGGGCACACAGGCTGAGAAGGTACCATCTGAGCAGACCCCAGAGAGAAGTGAGAGAGAGGATCCTTTAAGATGTGAAAGTTGCAAGGGATGAGTTTTAGCCTTTGACTTTTTTGGGTGAATTTTTATTTTGATATAGTTTCAAACTTATAAAAAAAATTACAAAATTAGTACAAGGAACTCCCATATACTCTTTACCGACATTCACCAGTTGTTTACCTTTTGTCCCATGAGCTTTATCTTCTTCTCTCTCTTATATATATATATATATATATATATATGCACACGCACAAATAATGTGTAAGTAAAATCTATATACATTTTTAGGGAGATCTGTTTGAGAATAAGTTGTGATAGTGTGCCCTTTATGCTTAAACACTTGAATGTGTGTACTTCCTAAGAATGACTTTTTTTTTTTTTTTTACATAAAGCCAGTAGTTAATCAAAGCAAGGAAATTATAGATACAATGCTATTATCTAATCCAAATTACATGTTCAGATTTTATCACTTGTCTTAATAATATCCTTTATAGCTATCTCCCCAGCTCCCATTCACCTCATACCCCAGTCTAGGGTCCACTCTAGGATCATATATAGGATTTAATTGTTATATCCATTTGGTTTCTAATCTGAAACTGTTCCTAAGCCTTTCTTTGTGTTTCTTGACCTTGATACATTTAAACAGTATACAGGCTAGTTATTTTGTAGAAAATCCCAAAGTTTGAGTTTTTCTGAAGCTTCCTCATGATTAGATTCAGGTTGTGCATTTTTGGCAGGTATACCAGTGATGATGTATTAATATCTTCTTAGTTCACCATACAATAGGTATGTATTATTGGTTTCTTTCAGAATTGGTAATGTTAGCTTTGATCCCTTGATTAAGGTGATATCTGCCAGGGTTCACTATTGTAAAGTTATTGTTTTCCCTTTTGTAATAAGTTATTTGTGGCAAGTTACCTTAAGATTATGTAATAACCTCTTTCTTCACCAAACTTTAACTCACCAGGTTTTTATATCCTTTTAGGATTTTCTTACTCCCTCATTCGTTCTTATTAATCAGCATTCTACTGTAAGGAAGAACTTTCCCTTCGCCATCATTCATTCACTTCTATCAGTGTGAATTCATGGATTCTTGTTTTATTCAAAGAGATACAATCCATTACTATCAAACTGTCCCTGATTTGTCCAGTGGGAACCCCTTTGAGCTGGCTGCTGTGTCCTTTTGATTTGTTCCCATGATTTTTTGAGAATTTTTTTCCTTTAAGGCAACAAAATGTTCCAGGCTCATCTTATACCATCCCTGTTCCTACTCAGGCATAAGCCATTTCTCCAAAGAGCTTTCATTACTTCTTATAAGCTTTTGAAATTTAGTCTGAAGGTAATGACTAGCCACTGACAATCCATGAGTGGCATGAACCAAATCAGCATTTTAAAAAAAACACTCTAGTAATAGTGTGTAGAAAAGATTGAGTTATGAACCTGGCAATAGAGAGAGTCTCTTCAAGTAATTTAGACAAGCCATAATAAAAGCCTAAAAACACTATCAGTGAAGGGGGAACAAAGAAACTTTATAATGGAGAAACCTGGCAAGCACTACCTCAGCTGGGTGACCAAGGTCAGCATCCATAGTGATATTCTGTTGTACCCTTAATAAAATGGCACTTACCTCTGTGGTATTCCTCCCAAAGACCCATAACCCCAGTATAATCATGAGAAAATCATGAGGCATATCCCATTTGAGGGACATTATACAAAATATATGTCCAGTACTCCTTAAAACTGTCAGGGTCGTCAAAAACAAGGAAAGTCTGAGAAACTGATAGAGCCAAGGCGAGCCTAAGGAGACATGACAACCAAATGTTGTGTAGTTTCCTGGATGGGATCCTGGGACAGAAGAAGGACATTAGGCAAAAACTAAGGAAATCTATATATGAAGCATGGATTTTAGTTAACAATAATGTGTTTATTGGTTTATTAACTGTAACAAGGTACCATACTAATATAACATGTTTAATAATAAAGGAAACTGGGACAGGGCACATGGAAACTCTGTACTATCTTCACAACATTTTTGTAAATCTAAACCTATTTTTAAAAAATTAAGTTTATTGAAAAACTATCAGTGGAGATGAAGAAGTAATAGTGGATTATAGGCTATAAATGTTTCAGTGGTGCAGCCATTATTCAAAATGTTTTGCAAATCTTTGGAGTCTTTTATAAATTCTTTTGGATATCTTATGGTCTTTTAATACACTTTAGTGAGAGACACAGTAGTGTAGCTGTCAAGGCTTTGACTGTAGGCAAGTTTCTCAAACTTTATAAAACCCAAAGTGGGCGTAACAACCTATATTAAAAGGTTCCTGTGAGCTAAATGAGATTAGGCATTTAGTAAGTAAGAGATTTTTGTTCTTTGAGGGAGAATTTGATTTTATAAAGCAGCTGTAAGTTATTTGGAGCCTGGTCTGATTAATATTTAGAGTAAACTTGGTATTTGTGTTTGAGAGCAAGATAAAAGAATTTGGTAAGACTAATTTTTGTGTGGCCTATAAATTTTTTAAAGATAATTTTAATCTTACATTAGAGTTGCAAAAATAGTACGTTGTGTTTATTCATCATGTCTTACTTTCCTTCAATCAATAACAGTCTTTTTTTCTTTTTCATAACCTTGACACTTCTGAAGAGAGCTGGTCAGTTATTCCGTAGAATGTCTTTCAGTTAGGGTTTGTTTGATGTTTTCTCTTATTAGATTGAGGATATGCATTCTTGGGAAGGATACTACAGAGGTGATGTCCCCTTCTCAGTACATCTTTACAGGGGGTGCATGATGTCAATATATATTACTGGTGATGTTAACCTTGATCAGTTAGCTCAGGTGCTGTCTGCCATGATTCTGTACTGTAAATTTACTGTTTCCTTAGTACTTACTATTAATAAATATTTTGGGAGAGATAATTAGAGACTGTGCTTAAACTTTGACCCACTAATTTTAGTATCCATTGGTGGTTCTTCCCTCAGTAGCTATTATGGAGTTCTAATGGGGATTTTTATGTTCACTTCATTCCTTCTATGTTTGTTAATTGGAATTCTTCTGTAAGGAAGAGCTATCCCTTTTTACTCATTAAAAATTTTAAAGTCAGTGTTAGTACCAGGATTTTCTGGTTAAGAGCCAGGTGAACTCTTCAGATGTGTTTTAATTTGAGGTAAAATGATAGATGGTTCATTTGTAAGTTTAGGGCTGGATAGAATCTGTAAACTCAGTTCTGTGTCTTGACTCAATTTAGATCATTTTTCTTGTATCCAATATCTCAAGTTATAAGCTGGGGGAAACTAAAGAAATTTTATTTTATGTTTACGTATATTTTTTAAATTTTACAATTTAGTAACTACTTTTTAATGAAAATGTACCTTTATCTTTTTTTTTTCCCCCCTTAGGCTTGAAAAGGAATACACTACAATAAAAACTAAAGAAATGGAAGAGCAAGTTGAAATTAAAGTAAGCATTTCAGGGCTTTTTTAAGTGCTGAAGATAAATTGAAATCAGTTATTTGGCAGTAGATACTAGTTTATGTTGCTATATTGTTACCTATCTGTAGTAAATTTAGCAATGAAGTTTATACTTACTGTCTTTACTGATACATTTATTTACCATCCTACTAGAATATAGTTAAAAATAGACATTTCAAAAAAGCAGAATAATGTGACTGAAGTGTTTGTAGTGTGACAGTGTATTTCACACTGTGAAATGTGACAGTATATTTCATTCTAGAGTGAAAAAGAGCAGCTCTTCCCTTTTTCTAAATTTGTTCGTGGCTCGTCAGGAGAAAAATACTCTCATGGGGAAGATAATTATCATTCCATTTAAGATATTTTAAAAAGTGGCAGAGAATATAATCTATAACATATTCTGTGCTGAGACTAATAGCAGTATAATAGGCAAATAATAAAGAGAGCAAATATTACACCAAAACTAATTATGGCTGCTCTAGAGCTGTAGGAAGATTTGGCTAACACAATTTTTTCTTCTCTAGGCAATAGTTACATTTTTGAATTAATTCTCTGCAGAGAAACAGGTAGATTTTCAATTCAAAGGGCATATAAATGCCCTACGTATACCCTAAAATTAAAAAATTTGTACCCCCTGTAAGCCAAGGAATTCTTTTTTTGTTCTGGAAAAACTAGCAATACACCAAGGAATTCTCAAGTTGAGGATATTTGGCACTCTTGGAGTTGAGACTTAAGAGAAGTTATGTTGGCTTTTATGCTGATACTGCAAGATTGGGGTGATAAATGGCAGCATAAGTCAAGGAACTTAATGATTGGTTGATCTAATTTCTAATCTTATTAATTAACCCCCCCAAAAGGTAAAAAAATAAAACAGTTTTGATTGAGTGACTCCCTCCCTCCTTTTTAAACTTTATGTTTGAATGTGTCTGATTTTTGACTTGGACCTGGTAAGACATCAGATGACCACCTTATTTACAATTAATTAGCCATTTGTTAATTGAGCCTTGCTATAAAATGCCACTCACACTCCACGGGTTCCAGGGAATGATGGATTCTGTTAAATCAGTATTCTTTCTTGGCTCATCCTCCTCAGAAGCCTCTTGGGAGACAGCCTTTGTATTTTCTTATGTGAACTCTCTTACAGCAACTCTGTCCTCCCTTTTCTATTTAGATGCTTTATTCCAGTTTCTATCACCTATTCCCTATTAATTGGAAATAGATATGTCTATATTTTTCATAGAGAAAAGACCCCTGTGGATGTTTTTCCCTCCCTTTAAAAAATGCTGTCACCCAATGCTGCTCCACCTTTTAAAAAATTATCACCCAAATGCTGCTCTACCATTTTTTCTTTTAGATACCTTTACCATGAGTAAAGGTAATATTAAATCATACCCTGTACTTCAACCTACTGAAAGTAAAAAGTATTTCATCCTGATGAGTGGGGAGAGAGTGTGGCTTATAGCATACCATGAATATTTGAAACTGCAAGTCAAGAATCTGAGGATGGGGAAGCCATCCTGTTCGTTTCACCATGCTGTGTTATTGAGAAAAAAAAATCATATTCTGTGAACAATCCTTGCTCTTGAAGAAGCTTTTTATAAAATTAAGTATATGAATATAGAAACACCAAAAGGCATTTACAGAAAACAGATTTTTAGCAGACTTTAGCTCATATTTGCAGTGATTTCCATATTTTATTTTTTGCGGAAAGTTACAGTTCATATCTCTCACAAAATACTTTTGAATACTAGCTCCATGTGTCTCAGGCAATGGCATTAAATTGTTTATAGAGGAGAATCTGAAAAAAAAAAGTTTAAAAAGCGGAACATATTAGGTAAATAAAGTATGCTAATTTCAAAGGTAGTCTGTTCCCTTTTAAATTTGTTTCCATACAGTTCTTTTTTTGTACTATTTTCATCTCTTTCTTCATTTCTCTAATGCCCCAAAAGACAAAACTAAAGCAAGTTTTGAGTTACTTACTTTTTTATTTACTATATGTTTATGTCTGATTTTTGACTTGGACTTGACAACCCATTTGAGTCATGATCAGAAGACTACCTTATTTACAATTCATTAGCCCCGTATTAATTGAGCCTTGTAAAATGAGAAATGGCCACTTGTTACACTCCCTCCTTCCTCTCTACTCCGAGGTCTCATTTACAAGAGAATGGATTCTGTTAAACTAGGGCTTTCTTGCCTTGGTCCTTCAATAAACCCCCCAGGGAGATAGTTTTGTACCATTCTTTACATAAGCAAATGGTATGATCATCAACTTATTTAATCTTTTGATATGGAAGTATAAAATCAGCCCTTGATATTATAAAATGTGTTTAAGGTCTCTGTTTTTACTTTAATTAAATTCTAAGACCTTTGGGGTGGTGACCTTTTATTTAAGAAATATAGGCCGGGTGCAGTGGCTCACGCCTGTAATCCTAGCACTCTGGGAGGCTGAGGCGGGCGGATTGTTTGAGCTCAGGAGTTCGAGACCAGCCTGAGCAAGAGCGAGACCCCATCTCTACCAAAAATAGAAAGAAATTAATCGGACAACTAAAAATATATAGAAGAAAAAAAATTAGCCGGGCATGGTGGCGCATGCCTCTAGTCCCAGCTACTCGGGAGGCTGAGGCAGTAGGATTGCTTGAGCCCAGGAGTCTGAGGTTACTATGAGCTAGGCTGATGCCACGGCACTCACTGTAGCCCAGGCAACAAAGTGAGACTCTGTCTCAAAAAAAAAAAAAAGAAAAAAAGAAAAGAAAAGAAATATATCTGTCATTGAGCTCCCTGTTTAAGATGTGACTTTTAATTATTTTTTCTGCCTCTTGCCTAAAAGTGGTATAGAAAGGTTTTGATAATAATGGCTTCATATGGAGAATCTTACGGTTTACCATGTGAAATTTTTTGTTAATAGAAACATCTTTATCAGTGTCTTCTTCCAATCTGTTGATGTTCCACCTGAGGGGGAGGAGGTAAGAAATATTAAAATTCTAGCTTATATCAGGGTGACCACAATCTTTAAAAAAGAAAAACCTTTATCCCCCTGACCTATTTAAGGCAGACATATGAACTTATAATTTAATTTTCATATTTATCTGTGTTTTGGAACATAGAGATATAAAGCCCGGCAAATGGGAAGTGTTAAAAATTCTGACAGGTTTTTAGTCAGAAGTTAAATATTTTTTCCTGTTTCAAAAATTATGGTATATTTCAGATATGCTGAAAGCCAGAAAATAATATGAAAACACTCATGTATTCACTGTCTAGCATAAAAAATATGATAAATATTATGTAAGTTATCCAGGAATTACATTTTAACAGTCAATGTCAGGTGTTAGTAGAATAGAGGCTCACATTTATTTACCCCTTAATATACGATGGGTCATTCACATGCTTTCTCTCCCCTTATTCTACAATATCTTATGAAAGGGTTCTTTATCTTATCTCTCGGTGAAGAAATTAAGCTTCACTCAATATACCAGTGGTCACATAGCTAGGAAACACTAAAAGTCAAGGATTTGAACTCTGACTTGTGTTATTCTTTTTTTATATTTATTTATTTTTTAATTTCAGAATATTACGAGTGTACAAATACTTTGGTTATATATATTGCCTTTGCACTGGCTGAGTCAGAGCTTACAAGTGTGCCCATCCCTCGGACAGTGTGCACTGCACCCATTAGGTGTGAATTTACCCATCTCCTCTACCCCCTTCCCACCTGCCTGATATCCAGTGAATGTTAACTTCCGTACATGCACATAAGTGTTGCTCAATTACTACCAATTTAGTGACGAGTACATGTGGTGCTTGTTTTTCCATTCTTGTGTTACTTCGCTTAGTAGAATGGGTTCCAGCTCTATCGAGGATAATACAAGAGGTGCTATATCACCACTGTATTTTGTTTTTTATTAATCCACTTATGTATTGATGGGCACTAGGGTTGTTTCCACATCTTTGCAATTGTGAATTGGGCTGCTATAAACATTTGGGTGCAGGTGTCTTTATTATAGCCTTTTTTTGCTTTGAGCAAATACCCAGTAGTGGGATTGCTGGATCAAATGGTAGTTCTACTTTTAGTTCTTTGAGGTATCTCCATATTTTTTACCATAGAGGTTGTACTAATTTGCAGTCCCACCAGCAGTGTATGAGTGTTCCTGTCTCTCCACATCAGTGCCAACATTTGTTGTTTTGGGACTTTTGGATAAAAGCCAATTTCACTGGATTTAAGTGATATCTCATTGTGGTTTTGACTTGTATTTTCTGGTGATTAGAGATGTTGAACAATTTTTCATATGTTTTTTGGCCATTTGTCTTCTTTAGAAAAATTTCTGTTCATGTCCTTTGCTCACTTTTTAATGGGAATGTTTGATTATTTCTTGTTGATTTTCCTAAGTTCTATGTAGATTGTAGTTATCAGCCCTTTATCGGATATATAGCATGCAGATATTTTCTCCCATTCTGTAGGTTGTCTGTTCACTCTAATGATAGTTTTCTTAGCTGTGCAGAAGCTTTTTAATTTGATCAGGTCCCATTTATTTATTTTTGTTGTTGCTGTGATTACTTTTGGGGTCTTCTTCATAAATTCTTTGTCTAGGCTGATATCTATAAGAGTTTTTCCAACATTATCTTCTAGAATTCTTACAGTTTTATGTTTTAGGTTTAAGCCTGTCATCCATCACGAATTAATTTTTGTGAGTGGTGAGAGGTACAGATCCTGTTTCAGTCATCACATGTGGCTATTCAGTTTTCCCAGCACCATTCATTGAATAGGGATTCTTTTACACAGTCTTTGTCTTTTTCTACTTTGTCAAAGATCAGATGGCAATATAAAGATGGTTTCATATCTGGGTTCTTTGTTCTGATCTATAGGTCTATGTCTCTGTTTTTGTGCCAGTACCGTGCTGTTTTGGTTACTATAGCCTTGTAGTGTAGCTTGAAGTATGATAAAATGATGCCTCCTGATTTATTCTTATTACATAAGGTTGCATTGGTTCT